AAAAGAAAGAAAGAAAAAAAGCCATTGCAAAAGTGCCTGAATCGGGATTGTATCTCCACTACTCTTCTTCTAAAAAGGATTTCTTGGGGTAAATTTAGAATTCATAAATAATACCAAAGACTGAGGCAATGGCGTCCATTTACAGTATTAAAAAAAGCACACGTGTAAGAGTCCCCAGCCATCACATATATATATATATATATATCTCGATTGTCTCATTTGAACATCAAAACAGACCAGGAAAGTCAAACACTTTTGAGTGTCCTGAGATTCAAATTTTCATCCAGGTCATCTCTAGATCCTTTATATCTCTTTGAGATTTCCACTGCTGGTTTCCCAAGCCATGAAAGCTGTAGAGATAGCCTGGTTCTTAACATGTTCTAATCTGGGCATCAGAGAAGTGGTACCTGCTGCCTTGTTTAGGGAACTCTTAGCTCAGTTTTGAGTAGTGTAATATCAGTAACATAAAAACTTTGGGTGATTTGGATGCCAAGAAAGGACTTCTACTCTTTGAAAAAGTTTATCTTCAAATAAGCAAGCCTCCAAGGACAAGTGAGGACACGAGGCAAATTCCTAAGGATGCCTGGGGTTCAGAAAGCAAAGGAAATCCATATGGTCCTACGTGACTTGGAAGCATATTCACAGAAAACAAAGGCCAGCTACGTGGCACCTTCTGGGAGAAGCTGGGGATATGCTTGTCAGTACTGCCCAAAGTGAAGTCAACTTAGACCACTGAACAAATTTCTTCTCTCACACACTTCAGGAGAATTTGATTAGCAGAGTCCCACTGGCAGAGTGACACTTTTCTCTTGAAATATATGTCTTGGCTAGTACCACAAGTCTCTCTTGGTCAACATAATGAAATGGAGGTAGCCCAGCTTCTTGCCTGGACTCAATCATTGTAGGGATCTGGAGAGGAGGAGAAAGCTAGTTTTTTTTCCCAAGAACGTTCTCAGATAGTCTAGAACTTCTTTTGTACGTAGTTTATCTGGAGCTATAAAGCCCAGTGCATTGGACCCAAACTCAAAGTCCTCATTCAACCACTCAGTCTTCCCTGAACTGATGGTATCATTATCATTTTGATGGAGAATTCGTGCTTTTACTTTCCTCCATGCTCAATCTCCCACCGATTCCATGTGAGGAAGCGTTCCTATCTGTGCAGATGTCTTCGGGGATAAAATCAGATACCTTCCATTCCTGGTAGACATAATTTGTAGGGACCTCCAATATTTGAGGCCACCAGATTCCTAGCTCTTCGGTGGCAGGAACTGTGGTTTTCTTAACTCTGAATTTCCAGTATGTTGCACAGTGCCTAGCAGACGGCGGTGCTTAGTAAATCTTGCAAATGGGTAAACAAATGAATGTTTTTATTACATTCTTGGTAGAGTGGCATGGATTTAGGAGAATGGTCTTGCAAATTTGAGTATATCTTATTATATTGGGATTTTCTACAAGTAATTATTCTTTCAACTTAGTGTCTAGGAACTGCCTTGCACAAAGATGGCAAGGCATAATGCATTCACTGCTGACTAATTAGCTCATTTTGAACTATTGTACATCTTGGTGTTTTCTAGATGTTTTCACTGAAACTAGAGCTTTATTATATCCATGTTATATCTAAGAAGTCCAAGCTCTTAGTCCCCAGAAAAAGAGTAGTCAGTGAATAGAACTTTCTCAGTTTGATGGGTTTTTTTCCTTTGCCTCTCACAATTTTTTTTTCTTAAACTTTTCGTGTTTGCTTGTGTGCTGGTGTTTGATGGTCAAAACGCACACTTGATCTCAACTGCTTTCTTCTCAGCCTGACAGGATCACCTCTCACCTAACATTTGGAAGATAGATTGATCTCATTCATTTTGATTCTGCTAAAAAATGACCTCTTGAAGTGTTCATATATCATAGTGTGACACAGAAAGACTGAACACCTATAATGGGATTATGGTTCCACTCGAGGAAATAATTCCCAGTTTTTATAATGGAATTAATTTGTCACAACTTCATGGTATTCTGCTAAAACTATTGCAGTTTTCCTGCAAGCTTTGGGACCACTGATAAATCTGAAGTAGAATAATCTTGGGCCACGTTATTAGCCTGTTCTGTTGGATTTTTCCATCATGTTGTTCTTTTGTCTGACAAAAAGATCTTTGTGGAAGCACACGTTGTTTCTCCCCATAACTTAAGTTCAACTCTACACCTTGAATTTCTGCTTCATCAATGCCAGCCTTGATGATGATGTTGTTCATGAGCAGATAACTTCAACAGATTTGGCTTGCTTTTCTGGGATGACTTTTTTTTTTTTAAGGGATATCCAAGCAGCAAATTCCAGAAGATCATTTTTCTTTCTTTTTTTTTTTTTTTAGATGGGAAAGAATAGCTTTTAAAAAGTCTTACCATTTAGTCATTCATGAAAAATGTGTTTTGTCTTTGTCTACACTGATAATGACAGCTTACTACATGTTGGAGACATGATGATAATTGACACAAACCCAATCTCTGTCATCCTGGCCTTATGATCCAGCAGGGGAAGCTAGGCTGTCCTCCTGTGGTTTAAGAGATAATACAAGCTCTTATCCTTTGTAGGTTTTTAAAAGAACCCAAGGCGGTCCTCTGACTTTGGATCCATGGTAACTATTTTTAGCTTGAGGATGAGAAAGTTTCACTTATCCTGCTGAGGACTCCATTGAGTTCCTGGCGAATGCATGTATTTGTAAGGTACTGAGGCCAGTCGGTTCTGCAAGAATATTCATAAGGTAGGTAAAAATAATTGGTGCCTATGTGGAGGCTTTGATTCATTCTTCAGTTTTTTTGTTTGTTTCAAATAACTCATGTACATAAAGAAAACCATAGTAACGTGTTAGATGATAGAAGCTCAATCATTTGTAGTAAAAGATTCCAGGAAGGTCAGAAGCAAGAACCAAACCCTAAGGAAGGGGCATTGGGTTTCTTAGGTCATTAACTCCAATGGCACTTTCATGCATGTGTCCCATTCCCTTTGCCCTTCAGATTGTTAGAAGGTCAAATGGCGCACCATAGGGGAGGAGGTTCATATCCGAAGTGTGTGTTCATTCCTGTGTCTTTCCCACCTCAGACCTCAACGTCAATACCTCTCTGTGAGATACTCCATGTAAATGTCACCTACCCCTGACAATGCCTGCCCTGGGCCAAAGACCGCAGGCTTTGGTTGTGCCCTGCTAACGTCAGGGACCAAACCTTCATTATTATTGTACTCTGAGCCTTTTGCACAGTAGCTGTTGACATGGGGGTCGAAAGGAGCCCATCTCTGAGAAACTAGTTCTGCCTTCTAACACAGTACAAGAGTCCTGCATCAGGTCACGATGAAACCATCAACCAGGTATCTGCCGCAGTGGAATATGCATGTAGATGGTTAGGCCCTTTTGATCCGCTTGATGGTCACCATGGTAACCACCCACAACCAGTGCTTAGATGTGGGATAACAGCGAGACAGTGATATTGTGGCCTAGTCATTTAGCTAACCCAGCCCAAGCCTAACAGAAACCTTTCTCCATCAAAGTGTTTCAGAGAGTAGCGACATCTCATAAGAGGCCACAGGAGGGCTTGTGCTTAATATGGAATACTCATCCACGAGGGCAGTGCTCTCAGGGGCTCTGTTCGCACTTTGGCTAATCTTACGGCTACGTGTGGTTTAAAAAATCTGCAGGAGTAGAGTTGGATGATTCTGAAAATTTTGCCCTTTTGCATATTAGTAAATGTTGAAGCTTGCTTGTAGTGTGTGTGTGTGTGTGTGTGTGTGTGTGTGTGTGTGTGTGTGTGTTTCTGGATCCTAAATGCAATGCGTCAGGCAAGCACATTTTGCAATAAAAGCAAACAGCCCCCTCTGGCCGGGAAAATTGTGTTGTAGGCGCCTGCCACACGACAGGGAGGACTGGTATCTTGGCACAATTTCTGGATCCCATCGTATAAAGGGCAGAGTGGTGTGACAGGAGGAGACCAGGGCATGGAACGAGTCAGCTGACTGGGCTTGGAGTCCCGGATCTCCAGGGGACGATGCACCGACCCCGGCCTGTCTCTACAGGAGTCAAAGGTTTCTCATTTTAACAAAGGAGAACTTGGACCAGTTAATTTCTGGTTTCTAATTTTCATCTGAGATGGATATTTTGTACAAGTATCAGGAGGAGGCATGGGAGTTGAAACCTCATTTTGAAGGCACTGAACTTAGCTCCTGCCCAGAGGGGCACCCTACTTCTGATACGTTTCATTATCTTTGGCTACATAAATTGGACACGATTTGAACTTGTGTGTGAGTGTGTATGTGTGTGTGTATTTTCTCCCCGTCAATTCATAACTCACTTGAAATGCTACACTTGGGATTACCACAGATGAGGAAACCGAGGCATGATACCAGACAATGGCAGACCAGGTGAGGTCCCTTTGAGAGCTTTGAGATGGTTTTGCTAGTTTTTCCTTAATCAGGTAATTTTTAAAATTCTTGCTTTTGGATAGGCGATGACTGCCTTGTTCCTTTCCTAGCGTTTTAGCTCGGTTGGCCACCTCATTGACACGCAATGCATTTTTGCTGAGCAAACTAGTTGCTTGCCGTAGAAAACAGTTAATCACCTAACTGTTTTACACAAAGGGGCAGTGGTTCGAGAAATAACTTAAACTACATTCCCCGCTTACCAAACCAAAACCCAAACGGACAAGTAGCACGGCTCGTCGATAATTTCTCCCCGTACTGGTCCAATCATGATTTAAAGTAAGAACAGCAGATAAATGTGTATCCTAGAAGAGATTAGCGGTACCATTTATATATTGTAAAGTCATGCAAACCATGCTGAAAAGGAAGCGGCTTCACTGTGGTGACCTGGGGAGGAAGAAGGCCCTGCCCGGTGGGAGGCCGCCGCACACATGCATGTGTTTTTACGCAGCCACTGGTGGTCTCACTGCTAAGTGTCGGCTGTGAGAGCAAGTGAGCCATACAACGTGTGCCTACATTACAAGGAGGACGCAGCCCCTGACCCCTTTTAAATGGGCTTGTTGGGAGGGGTCCATACGGAATCAGAAATCCCGTCCCCTGTGGATGACAGAGGCAGGGAGCCACTGGGTGTGAAGGGGTCCGTGTCCGTGTCTGTCTCACCCTCGGCGAGGTAACGTTTCTCCCTCATCCAGCTCGACCCCCCGTTGGGGCCAAACACGTAATCGTCTCTGTCTTGGGAGATGCTGAAGCCACTCGGAGACCTCTCCAGCTCCTCGTGGTTGACTGACATCAGGGACAGGGGCGTGTCACTGTCCCGCGTGATGCTCCGTCTCTGCCGAGGGGAGACCCGGTCCGAGCAGGGGCCATGCAGTTCAGCCTGGGAGTGATAGCTCACTCGGGAGTCGAGAAGAGTCAAGACAGGCAGGACGGTGGGCCTTTTTGCATACGTCGTTGCTGAGGAGGAAAGCGTCGCCTGGACCTTTCCCGAACTGGGTCCTCCTCGGGGAAGGGTCACTGGGTCATGGGCAAAAAACCCGTAGGGGCCGACTTTGTCAATGGGCACCTGGTGGAAGCTGTAGGGGGCCTCGGGGGGGCCCGTCTCCGAATAGTTGCAGATGATGGTTTTCAAATCAGAATCTCGGTTGTTCTCCATCTTCTCCACGTCGCCCGGCGAGGAGGTGCCCTTGGTCGGGTAGTACTCCGTGACGTGCACCTGCAGCCTTTCCATGTGCTGCATGTGCATATCCACGAGGAAGTCCAGTTTCTTTCCCATGTCATGAACCTGAAAAATACACGGACCTGGGAATCACTGCCTTTGCAGGGCTGTGGGGGGACCCGTTACCAGGCGGGAGGAAATAATCACGGCGTCTACTTTTTGGAAAGCAAGAGGGTTCCTGCGAATCATAATCTTAACCACAGCTAATTATTTTGCGCTTCCTGACTCTGAGCCCCGAGCAGCCGTTACCGCTAACCTAGAACCCACCTGACGGGGGCTTTCTGGGAAGGGAAGGCTGGAACCAGAGAAGTGACCCGAGGACAAATTTTACCCGAGGAGCAGGTGGCCTTGCTGCTGACGGTGGGGTCAAGGAGAGGGAGTTCTTGATTTGCAAACATTCGCTTCGACAGAAGCATGTGGGTTTGAGTGTCAGTTCTTCCTCCGTGCGGTGCTAACAAAGATACGAGGGCAGTCAGTAGCAAGGGCTGTGCCCCCCAGAGCTGAGGGTCCACGCAGGGGCCTTGGCACGCGAGCCACCCTGAGGTAAGCTGTATCTGCTCCTACCCACAAAACTGGGAACCGGCTCTGTCTTTGTGTGTGTCCCATGTGCATGTGCGTGTAGGCACGGGTGACGTTGTCTCCCCGACGACTCACACCCCCCCAGGAAGCACGGAACCAGGTAGGGGTTGAGACGGCATCCAAGCCTTCCTGGCAACTAAGACTCAGAGCAGTTAGTAGGTACCTGATCTGCTTGGTGCCCGTTAGAGTTGTTAACTCATCTCATTTCACCACAACCCTAGGAGGGGTTTCACCACAATCCCTAAGACTGGGATTACCTCTCTTCTACAGGTGAGGAAACACAAGCCCTGAGAGAGGAAGTAGCTTGTCTACGGTCACAGAGGCGATGAAGGGGAGAGCTGAGATTATAAATTAAAATCTTTAAATGAAAAATGATATTCTTGAAATGCCAGGAAGGAATAATCATTCAAGTTTCCTCTTGCCTCTCTTGAGCAGATCCAATTTGGGGTGATGAATAAAATAAGAAGGTTGGTGGGGACCCTAGCGGGAACTGACAGTGCCATTTATCTGATGTGCACTTGAATGGACTACGCTCTAATATAAGCCCTTTGCTGCGGAAATGAGAGGTGAGCTGGGCATGAATGGCTTTTCTTTCTGCCCTGACCGAACCCACCCACAGCCCGCCCTGCTCCAGGCCTCCTCGCAGGGACCACACACTGACCCGGACTCTGAGGGAAGGATTAGGGACCCAGGACATGTGGGGAAGGGAACTATCATTTCTTAAGGGAGCACCGTGAGGCACGTGGGAACAGCAGCGATATTTGCTGAGTGTCTATCATACGTCGGCCACTCGTCTACGTAATCCGCGTGTACCAACTCATTCAATCCTCATAGCAACCTTATGAGGTGTTAGAATCCCCATTTTACAGGTGAGGAAACTGAGGCTCGGCACAATGAACTTGCCTGTGACACCGAGCCAGTAAGTGCCAAATCGCGATTTAATTTCCACATCCTTCTTCTCAATGGTAGATATCCAGATACTCAACCATCGTATCTCCCGATGGCAGAAAAAAATGACATTTGAAAATAAATTTTATATGCTTTTTTTTTTTGGTAAGGAAAAGGAAAGACCTACCTGTCTTTCAACTTTCACAAACTTCCCCATCATGCTTTGGTCTTCGATTTCTGATGTGGATGTTCTGGCTACGTACGGTTCGTTCCTAGGAAAGAGCCAACGAGTCTGTGAGATTGTTGCATCTGTCTTTGCTTTGCCAGGCTGTCTCAGCAGAGCGGACCATGGTCCCTGGAGCTATCGTTCCCATGCTCATGCTGATGCAGTCTGGAAGAGGCCCGCTCAACTCTGGAGGCAGATGTGAGTCAAGAAAGGCTAGCATTTTCCTGCCTGTAGCACTGGTGTCTTACTTTCTCTGCAGCAATTATCTGAAGCCAAATACGAAGCTGTCTTAGGAGGCTTTGGGTCAAAGTTAATATATCAGCTAACTGAGCCTTGAGGGTTCAGTGCCTTTAAATTATAGTCCTTTCTTTGGCTTTTAGCGTTGGACTATGGCGGAGAGCTTCTACTCCAAGGGGTGTGGGGTAGGGTGGGTGGGGTGGGGTTGTTCACTCTCTGAAATCCTATACAGTGGGTATCAATATCTCCTCTGTTACAAATGCTGCATCTGGAGAACGATGCACAAACGGATGCTGGCGGAGAAGGGGTTGAGATGTGCCTCGCGTGGGCTCCATGCCGGTGTGGGTTATGATCTATGCAGAAGAGAATCTTCAGGGAGCCCGGCTGTTGCTCAAAACCGTTGCATCAGGCACTTTGTAGGTAGCTGTTTTTCTCTCTCATAGGCTACTCACTCCTGCTACGTCCCTGGCCTGTCTCCGGCTGAGCGGTCTTAAATTAAAGCAGACATCAGAAACTCGGGGCCCACGTGCTAATTCTAGCCCACTAGTGCTTTCCTTGGCTCAAAAAGTTTTAAGACATTTCAGCCATTTCAAAAATAAGAAAGGTCACGTGACATCTGGATAGTGGGCTCTTCCTGATAAATTAGACTATCTGGAAACAGAGGATATTGATTCCTGACATTAGCACAGCAGATCGGAGTGACAATGACCTCCTTTGGTGACGGCAAGTGCCCTCCAGGTCGTCAGGGCCCACACTCCCTTATTCTATCCCCAGGACTGAGGCTGAAGGTCAGATGCCTTCCATCATCACTCTTACGCTCTTGCTGCGTTTCTAATAAGGAGCCTGGTTGATATAAGGTGTGTGTGAGCTCTTAAGCCTGACTCCCTTCACTCATTTATGTTCCCTGCTTTGAAGCCCTCTGGGAGTAAAGAAGGTGTACATTCGGGCGTTGGCCTTCCGACGGGACTGCTCCCGGTTCCTCGGGACCTGTGCAAGGAACATTTCCAAACACTTTGTGTGGGACGAGCAGAACTTCCCTGCTGATGGACACGCTCTGCCCGCGATGATGTGGCGAGAGGCCGCACATCTGATTTCCTTCTCTGGGACTGGGATCGGTCAACACAGGGCCGACTATGTAGGCAAAGCCAAAGGCCGACCGGAGCAAGAACACCTCAACTCTGCCCACATGAGCTATTCTTTCCATTCCGATAAACTCACAGGCCTCATATTATTTTATAACACAGACATTATCATGTTCATTTTCATTAGCTGTGGAAGGGAGTGTCCCCCACATGGTCTGGGAAGAGGGGCGGGCAGTCTTTTGTTACAGAAACCTCACAAATGGCCACAAGCCGGACAGAAGAGGCTTCAAGCTCTTTTCTTCACTTGCCTGAGGGGAATGGCCACCCCACCCAACCATGAAGGGAGCGAGCTGAGATTTGGGGACGGGGATGGGCCACGCCGCTGGTCAGTCCACGTCTCCGCGCCCCACCTGGGAGATTGCTGGGATGGGTAGGTGAACGCTGCCCCTCTCTGAGACTTCTTGTGTTTTGGGGTAGACGGAGGTCCAGGGGTGAAAATCATGTCTATTCTGGAAGAGACACACAAGGAGGGGATTACATTACAAAGAGCATTAGAGGCAAAGACAGGAGAACAACTGCTTCTATTCTCTCTTTAGTCAGGCAAGGTTTGAAATATACAAGAGAAAGGAAAGGGGGGGTAGGGGAAGAGGGAGAAAGCGGGAGCGAAGGAGAGAGAGAATTTTTAATTTCCGTATATTATTGCTATTATTATTATTATTTGGTCCAGCGATATGAGGGTATCTCCCCATCCCAGGGGAGACAGGCAGCTCGACCACAGAGAGAGGGTGAGGGTCACATCCTGTTAGCTCCTGTAGGAAACGTGTGCTACAAGCCTGCCTGGTCTTCCAGGTCTTTCATTCTTTCCTCAAACATCTGACTAGCGAGTTTTCTTGACAAACCCTAGGCTTCGTGTTCAGCCGTGCACATCTCTCTGCTGTCCTGCAGGCTTCCTGGCCATTGGAGGGACAGATTCACACCCGCCCTGCACCTCACTTCCATTTCTGCGTGAGGCACCGGCTCCCTATCCATTTCACTCTGAACACAAATGGAGACAAATGCCCCCACTGCCCTGTGGGACTGGGACGGGTGTGGGAGCGACCTCGAAGGCTCATCACAGGCCCAGGACCACAAAGGCCACGCCCTCCTCCGCTGACACCACCATGTACTCAATCGCCCTTCTTTTCTCTCTGGTCACATATCAGCACGGCTGGGGATATGCAGTTGGCTACCCAGGTGGTCAACCTCCAGCCATGACTCTTTGGAATACTTGTGCCTAATAAATACTGAAAGCAACAGCAGTGTGAAGGTCTACACTGCGTGCGTTAAGATGGGCTGATATTTCTGGGGCTCCTGGGTGGCTCAGTCGGTTAAGCGACCCACTTTGGCTCAGGTCATGATCCCATGGTCCTTGAGTTCGAGCCCTACACTGGGCTCTCTGCTGACAGCTCAGAGCCTGTTTCGAATCCTCTGTTTCCCTCTCTCTTTACCCCTCCCATGCTCGCTCTCTCTCTCTCTCTCTCTCAAAAATAAATAAACATTAAAAGAAAATAAAAAGACGGGCCAGTATTTTGATCTGGTGTTGTCCTAGACGTCAGGCTCCCTCCATCTCTCAGGGAGCCATATTTGCAGAAATAGCAGCATGTTAGGCTCAGAACTCATTCGCAAATCTATTCGTGAAGCAGGCATTGAGCACTGACTGTGTGCCCGCCACTATGCTAGGAAGTCACGGTCAACGTCCCAGGTATGGATTAAGCAAGGTCACAGATAAGCGTTCCTCCAACCCAACATCATCGTTAACTTCCAACTCATTCAATCTGATGGTCCTGTTAATTCTGCAGGACACTACGGCAGAGAAACATTATTCAGATGAGAAACCCAAGGTGCCAGCAGGACTGGACTTGTGTCCACTGGAAATCTTACAAAAGCCAGGGAGCGAGCCTCCCACAGGGCTTTGGTTTCATGATGTCAGTTCTATGTCTTGACATCATATTGTCCTTCAGTTTTTTAAAACGGTTTTCACTAAATTCTATCCTGAAATCATTATTACACTATATTTTAACTAACTTGGATTTAAATAAAATTAAAAAATTAAAATAAAATAAAATAAAATAAACAATGTACATGAATATTGACTGAAGTTGTAAAAAATATTAACATATTATTGTTACTGTAACATCTACGTTAAATAGCATTAGGAAACACACACAAATAAAATGGTTTTTCTTATTAAAAGAATATTTTTACAATTCATTAAAGATTTGATAAATTTCAAAACCGGAAAAAAAATCACATATGGACTCTTTCTCTCGGTACAGCCACTGTAATCCTTTGGTGGAAGACGTAGTCCTTTTCTGTACGTTCCCTATTGGGAGTACATGTATATATTTCTGAGTAAATGTATGTGCATGTGTTTTTGTAATCATATTGTATGTATATATTATTAGTGTCATAAGATCGATGCAGAGAATATATATCAACATTACCATTTGTATATACTTAAGCATATGTATATATGTCCGACTATTATTCGTAATCGTATTGTGCATATATATACTCAAAGAGGACATAAGTTTTTAATCTCGTCCTATACATTTTCTAAATGTCATTTGATGGTTGCATAACTTTTTAATGAGAGCAGACACCATTTTTTTCTTAATTGGTACTTATATAATTGGGGAAGTGGAGTGTGGTGTGTCAGACAGAACAGGAGTTGTGTAGCCAGTTGGATCTCGTGTGACTTCCAGCTCTGCCACTGATTAATCTTGGGTAACTCCATTGCCCTTTGAGCTTTGGTTCTGTCATCAGTAAAAGGACACCCACAATGCAATACCTTATGAGGTTACAAAGGATTAGGCACATAGGTGTAGGTGCTCAACAAAAATGGTGGCAATTATTATTTGGGCATTGATGTGTTTCCATATTTTCACTATTAGAAATAACACTCAAACATTTTCAATATAGTGAAAAATTTGTATTTAGAATTGGGCAAATTGATATCATCTCAATCTTGTTGGCAACATCCAAAGTATAATAGTCGGGGGCTAGCCAGACATATGCCTTCTCTCCAACAGGACCGATTGGGGTGTTGACCTTGGCCAAGGTCAATGTCACAGAGCTTCTTCACGGCCTGTTTGGTGCTTGTCGGCCTTGACGTACACAGCGCTTGATGAATGTTTTTGTTCTTAAACTTTCTCCCCGGCATTCTGGATCATTTCTGAGGGCCTTTCACCCTAAGGTCTAGGCTCATCTGGCTTTGACTCTTTAGTGGTCAAGAGAGCATCATTCCTCCAGATGCCACTGTCTTACCTTGTCTGAAGGTACTTGATCCTGGAAAGCATGTCGAGATGTCCTGCAGAATACTGCTCAATCACATCCTTCACGTCGTAAGGCCTCAAAGTCTCCTTGAATTTTTTTTTATAGAGACGGAATTGTAGAATTCTGCAAGGTGAGGTAGAGACATTTGTGCTTCATGAGTAGAGACAGAAGGAAACTATAATTCAAGTCTAACAAACTCAGGGGCAAGGAGAGAAAAGAACCAAAGAGAAAATGACTTGATGGTGGGAAGTTCCAACTCATGGTCCCGGTTCCCTTCAAACCACCCAGAATGAGGCTGACTAGTGCCTCTGGTCTTCATGATTACCTCCCTTCAGTCATCTGAATAACAATAAAATCACAGTAACAATAAGAGCTAACATTTACTGGGCACGCACTATAGGGCAGACACTGAGCTAAGTATGTTACGAACCATCTGCGAATAGATCAACTCGTAGATGGGGCGGCTGTGGTCCAGAGAGCTCCAGCATCCTCCCAGGGCCATCTGGCTAATAATGTCAGAGCTGCTCTCAAACCGAGGTTTGTATGCTGACAAGTGTCATGCTCTTAATCACTGTGACACACTGCCTTCTATTTGAGGACAGCTGACAAATTTCTTCCTCAACAGCCTCTTTAATTATTTGGCTTGTGAGCACCTAGAAAAGAGGAACTAGCTTCTGTTCTCAGGTTTTCTCAGTAAAGTGGGGCACCTGAAACTCATAGATGCCAAACCCTCATCTCTATAATCCTGGGGACCAATAAAGGCACCCCAGATGGCTAATGTTCCTTGAAAACCCCATCACGGGGTCAACCCCCACCGAGCACGGCGTCCGTTAGCACCCCTAATTGTAGGCCGGGGCTGGGAAACGCGGCCTACCCCAGGCCCCTGCTCCCCCTACTTGTGCAGATCTCTTTCCGCAGGGCCTTCAGAGTTCCTTGTTTGTTATAGTCCACGGCAGCCTCTCAACACTATTTTGGCGTATTGATTCTGCCATCCAGTGTACGTGCCGTCCTTTCCAACTGGGTGTCATTTGATAAGCCTGCCCTTTACACAGCTCGGTCAGCAGGGGATGGCTCGAAGGCCAAATCTGCCCTACTGCCTGCGTTTGAAAGTAACGTTATGTTGGGACACAGCCACCTCCATTCACATATGTACGGTAAATGGCTGCATCTGTGTTACAAAGTCAGAGCTGAGTACTTGCAACAGGGTCAGACCTGTGACCCACAAAGTCTAAAGTATTTAACTATCTTCCTCTTTTTAAAAAAAAAACATTAATGTTTATTTATTTTTGAGAGAGAGAGAGAGAGCGTCAGAGGGGCAAGGAGAGAGGGAGACACAGAATCCAAAGCAGGCTCCAAGCCCTGAGCCGTCAGCACAGAGCCCGACGCGGGGCTCGAACCCGCGAACCGTGAGATCATGACCTGAGCTGAAGTCGGACACTCAACTGACTGAGCCAGCCAGGCACCCCACTATCTTCCTCTTTACAGAAAAAGTTGGCCAATGCCTGAACTAAGGCATCGATAAAAATTCTAAAAAGAACAGGGTAGAAGCCAGACCGTGGACCATCCCAGCAGAGAGCTCTCTCCTGGTTGACACAGATTCATTCACTGGTTTTCTTTGAATAAGATCATTCAACCAGTTATGAATCTAGGTAGCTGTGCTTTTGTCCAGTTGTATTTCTGTCACATTGCACATGGGGTGTCATGAGATGAGAGGTCAATGGCTTTGCCGAGGTTCACATATTGTGACACTATTGTGCTTCCCTGATCTACTGGGCTAGGACTCTGGCTGAAAATTTCCCAACTAATTCTTGGAGAATCCAACTTAGTTTCTAGAATTCACAGCCACCATTGTAGACTGTTTGTAAGCCCATATGCTGTTCAAAGTTTTCCGTAAGTAAGCATTTTTTTTAAAAATTTTCTTCTGGAATTCTGAAGCAAAACAAAAACTGGCCAGGGTAGATTATAGTCTTGTCTGATACACACACACACACACACAAATCCTATAACTGACTATTTTGTTGAAAATATTAATGAAGACAGATAAGAAAAGCTATTTTGGGTAAGAGGCCTATAAAGGAAGAAAACTCCATGTCAACATGCCCTTCCCCCTCTCCTAGACCTGGCCAAAGCCAGACAAAAAGCATGACAATTAGAAATACCGTCAGGAGCCTGAGCAAGAGTTACCCAGGATGCCTTGCTGCTGTAGAGATCATTTTTCTTCCAGCAGCATCTCCCTTGGAGTACTGACATACTCTTGGACCTGATTCAGGAGTTACTCAAGTTCCCACACACCTTCCCAAAGCCAGTATCCTGTGGGAATTGAACTGGGGCCTGGGGAGGCCCACTGTGGGGAGGAAGGGGCCTCACCTGACGGCTCGGATGGCGGCCTTCAGGGTGGGGATCATCTCTTCGATGAGGAAGTCATTCCCGTAGGCCCTGTCTTCTGCCATGGGATCACCTGTCCCAGCATCTGGGAGGGAGACACACATATCAACCAGCAGGCCACGGCGCTTAGAAAGGCTTGGGGACCCCATTCAGTCAGAGCCTTCTAAGCTCAACCACCAGAGTCCCTGCCCCCACTTTGTGAAACCACGTGGTGTTCTCCAGTTGTGATGCCATTCAGGCCTTCGTGGCATCTCCTATGCCCCAGACAGGAGTCAGAGATGCCCGCGTTCAGGACTGTTGACTGGGGAGAAGGCCAGGAAGGCAGTGACGTGAGTTCTGTGGCCCTGAGTGACTTCTCAGAAGCAGTAGAGGGCATCCTCATGGGGGTTACGATCAGACACACCTGAGTCCAGATTCAGTCACTACCCTTGAGACCTTGTGGGGTCACTTTCTGAGCACTGCTTATCCTCCCTTGTCATAAGCACAAGGGACACACCAAGGTATTGTTCCCACTGCCGCCTACTGGGCTCGTTTCTATTACCTCTTCCCACCCCTTGGGGTGCTGAGGCCCCTGGGTCTCCAGATCACTCTGCACCTGGCCCCCTATGTCCTTCAAATTGACCTCCATGGCAATGCACCTCAATGTGGCTACGCTTTGAAACTATGGCAGTAAGCCCCAAGGCTCCCTGGAGGGGTCTGTGCAGACGAATGTGGGGATCCTGGCACAGAGAATAGCTACCTTGGGACCCCCCTGCTCCCTGAAGTGTGGGGATGTATTACAGGCGCCCCCAGCCCAGCGGACATGAATGGGATAAAGCAAGAAGTTGGTTCAGGAAGGGTGGAGACGGGCTACTCTGCAGACTGGACAGTATTCAACCGGGGAGGGAGGGAGGTGAGGGAGGGGCGGGCATGGCAAAGGGAGAAGTGGAGGAGACAGAGTGAGGGAGAAGACAGGCCTCACCTTCAGAGCTCTGCCAGAAAGCGTAGGCTTTCATGCGGAAGGCGGTGCGGAAGCGTTCTTTATTGTTTAAGCCAACAGGCTTTGGTTCTTTAGGAGGACTTTCTTCTATGGCATCTACATTCAGAGGGGTAAATAGCTTTCCTTTAGTATTGCTACCACGAGGATTAGAAAGGCGAACCCGATCCAAGAGACCCAGCTTTTGGCTACAAAATAAGCAAAAGTGAACAATTTTCCTCCTTGAGTGCAGGCTTTCGTAATCACCCGGCCCTCTCCATAAAGACTCACACATTGACCTCCACGTGTGATGGGGGAGGCGTGCCCTCAGGGCTCGATCTGCCTTAGCAGCTCGGGGTGGCACAGGGCTTGGCAATTTATAAGCCATGACACCTTGGGCACGTTTCTTAACCTCTCTGCACTTCCCTTTCCTCCTATGCTTAGGTGGAGCTCAAATGACATACGGGACATCAAATGCCTGGCTCCCAGCAGCGGGTACCCGAGCCTCATGCCTTCCCCTGTCCCGTCATCTCTGCCTCCATAACTTCCTCCACCTCATGGTGCCCAGGTAGCAACTTTCACAGAAAAAGCCTTTCAAATGTTCCTTGAACAGTATAAACGACACGAATTACAGGAAGCAGGCACCCTAACCCGGTGGCCACAGACGCCCCCCAAGGATGGGACTTGGGAGGCGAAGCGGTCCCTAAGCTTGGATGGGGGAAAACACCGTATCTTTACTCACTGAAATCAGCATATCTTTCAATTACGAATGTAGGCAATAAACCCCAGTACTATCCTCAGTGCCCCGGTCTCAACCTGTGTCTTCCACAACAGAAATCACAGAGCATTTGCTATCCGGTTCTCTCCAGGGACTGCTGTGCTCATAGTGTTTCAGAATTATGTCGGTATTCAAGCGGCCCCAGGTCTCATCATTAAATCCATCACCGAGAAACACAGACACGACTGCATCTCGGATGTGCATGTATTTTGACAGTTGTCAGTATAATCAGTGTCTTTTGTAACCGTATGCATTTCATTTATTTATGAATTCAAGATGGGTATTCTGACAAGGGGTCCCTGGACTTCCTCATACTGCCCAAAGTGTTCTTGGTTCCAACCGACCAAGCAAGTGATTAATAAGTCCAACATAAAAAGCCCTTGTGCAAAAGCCAGCAGTGCCTGACTTGCATCCAACTTCACCCCTTGCCATCCAGGTGACCTTGGGCAAACCCGTGCCCTTTCTGAGCCTCAGTTACCTCATCTTTATTATTTTTTTAAGTGTATTTATTTATTTTGAGAGAGAGAACATGCACACAAGCTGTGGAGGGGCAGAGAGAGAAAGGGAGAGACAAAGAGAGAATCCCTTGCAGGATTCTGTGCTGTCAGCACAGAGCCAGACGCGGGGCTTGAACTCACGAACCCTGAGATCATGACCTGAGTTGAAACCAAGAGTCAGACGCTTAACCGACTGAGCCTCCCAGGTGCCCCAGTTACCTCATCTTTAAAATGGGGACAAGGGGCGCCTGGGTGGCACAGTCGGTTGAGCATCCGACTTCAGCCAGGTCACGATCTCGCGGTCCGGGAGTTCGAGCCCCGCGTCAGGCTCTGGGCTGATGGCTCGGAGCCTGGAGCCTGTTTCCGATTCTGTGTCTCCCTCTCTCTCTGCCCCTCCCCCGTTCATGCTCTGTCTCTCTCTGTCCCAAAAATAAATAAACGTTGAAAAAAAAAAATTAAAAAAAAAAAATAAATAAAAATAAAAAAAATTAAAAAAAAAAATAAAATGGGGACGACCACTCCCTGCTTCCCCCGGTTGCTATGAGACGATGTTTGTCAAGGATGTGGCACAGAGCTTGGCACGCAGTAGGTGACCTGTAAGTATTAATTTCTTCACTCTATTTCTCTACCTCCACCCCTCACCCTAGCGGGCATGAGGACAAAGGCCTTCTTTGCAGGACACCTACCAGAGAAAAGCCATCCTACAAGTTTTCGCACATCAATACACTCCACTCGGTGGCTTCCCCTCATTACCCTACACAGGGCTTGGCACACAGTAGGTGCACCGTGTACTTGTGGCATACATGGTGAGTGAGTGAATATGGGTTTTTGAAGAAGGCTCTGCATTGGCCTGAGCTGATTTAGTATTTCTAAGGAGTCGGGTTATGACAGCCCCGTGCTTCCTGCCAGGAGCTGCTGGTGTCTCTGCGGCTTGATGCAGTGGGAGAGGTCAAGGGCGCGGGGGCCGCGGAGGAGGGTGGGACACTCCCCCTGCCCAGCAGGTGCCCCGCACTCTCTGGGCACCAGGTCCTCAATGGTAAGCGGGCCTAACAACACCTGCTGCGTAGAGGCCTGGGGAGCATTACACGTGGTAACATCCATAATGCTTCCTGCCTCCAGCCTGGCGTAGAGAAGGCACGAAGATGCGTTTGGTTAACAAACACACAGATGAGCATACGGATGGGCGGTACGGCCCCCTCTGGATGGTTCTCTCTCACCCAGCGTTGTTACCTTAATAGTCTGACCGGGGTAGATTCAGGGGAACTCTAGGACACAGATGGCTTTATCCTCCCTGAGTCAAAGACAAAATTTTCGGAGTGGCTCTCCAGACCAGTTCTAGATGAATGACTGATAGGACAGGGCCTGTGGGCTAAAAATACTGGATGAGACAGAAAGTTGGCTGAACAGACAGAAGGCTTTCCAACCCAGGAGCTCAGGAAAAGGGGGACGTCAGGACAGTCTCTTCTCAGGTCTGCTTCTCCTTGTCTGCTGCCTACTGACCGTGTCTCACTATCCCGCCAAGCAGATCCGTCCTCCCATCTGCACCGAGCCTCCTGCCCGGCCCTGAGTCCCCACAGCATGCCTAGGTGCGCCCACGTCCTCCAGCTGCTATGAGCCCTGCCTCCTGGGAGTCCCTCGTTGCCGGCTACTTTTAGAACGGCCTGAGCATCACCCGTCTTCCCTTGGAAATCAGGTACTCCCCACGTGGTCCAACGACACACTGTGTGTCTAACACTGTGTCTAACACACCGTGTGCAGACCATGCGTTTCCACGTCGGCCCCCCCAGCCCCCGGAACGTGTAGTCCCCGTAAAGCAAAGACCCGGACTGGTCATCTTTGAGCCCACGCCCTGCCCTTCCTGTTCAGGGTAGCCGTGAAAATCACGGTCTTTGGGACCATTCCAGTCCGCGTGGAAAGGTCCTGAAACACGTGACCTGAGACACACAAGTCATGGTCTCGGGCCCCAGCTCCTCCCACGTACAGTGACGATGGCCCTCGTTGCGAGGGGCCGCGTGAGGGTTACGTGAGGGGCTGCATGGAAAGTGCTTAGCCGACTTCTGGAATGAGGATTGGAGAAGCCTTCAGTAAATGTTGGCTGTCACCATTATCTCGGTAAATAATTCTCTTCCCTCAGAAGCCATAGAAGGCTAAAGGATGGATAAAATTTCCTGAGCCACAAAATAATCGTGTGTGTGTGTGTGTGTGTGTTTAATGAGCTGAGATAAGTTCTTGGGGTTTATATATTATTTTACAGTGCTTCCTAATGCCAGTCTCACACACTCGCCATTATCACTGAATTTGACCTCTGCAGGAGATAAAGTATATGAGGAGCTTAATTCCAGATCGGCTAAGCAAGTCAAAAGTAATGGCAGCCAGGGGGTCCTGGCTTGAAATCTCAGCAGAAACGCCTGAGTGTTAGAAAGTTAATGAGAGGACCCTCTTGGTTCTATCTATGTAGGGATTTAGGATTTGCCCGTTTGACGTTTCAATGCTTCATTGCAACCTCTCACAGTCTGAGTTGCTTTGGCGATGTTTACTTAACATGCCATGGCCACAGAGGACAGTTTACTAGAGAGAGATTCCCACAGCGTTCGGAACCCAGAGGCATCAGGCACAATTCAGGAACCTCAGCTCTGATTTACTCCCAGCCATCACACCCAAGAGGCTTACAGAATTCTGCCTCCAGCAAAGTGGGTGATCAGCTTACTTCTTAATTGCGTTGCCTGGGATCCGAGACCCCAAAGGATAATCAGATGCAAGGCAAAGTCCGCTGCTGAAACTCAAACCCATCTCTGCCCTTCTCCGTATGGATTTCTAGCACATAATTCAGGCCTTGTGCTTGGAGGGTCCTAGAGGTCTCCCAAGAAAAGCCTCCCTTGGGACTGACATCAGGTTTTCTTGGATAGCTGGGGCCCCTGATTTATCAAGTGCAGACAATTTTTAAATATGAATTAAACTGGAAATGGGGGCGCCTGGGTGGCGCAGTCGGTTAAGCGTCTGACTTCAGCCAGGTCACGATCTCGAGGTCCGTGAGTTCGAGCCCCGCGTCGGGCTCTGGGCTGATGGCTCAGAGCCTGGAGCCTGTTTCCGATTCTGTGTCTCCCTCTCTCTCTGCCCCTCCCCCGTCCATGCTCTGTCTCTCTCTGTCCCAATAAATAAATAAATGTTGAAAAAAAAAAAAATAAATAAACTGGAAATGGATGTACCGGGGACAGGAAGGTAAAATCAAAGATTAAACTCTGCCCTGGCAGCAGCCATTGCCCTGGGCTCCTGCCTCAGGTTACCCCATGCCATGGCCTGTACCCAGGAAAACCTTCATCCCCTCTTTTATCTAAATGATAAAAGAAAAATCAGATTTTTCCTCTGAAACTTGACCCAAACATCAGCCCTAAGGCTGGCTTGCCCTCTTGGTCCAAATACCTATCCATTCACCCACCCGCCCTCCCTCCCTCCCTTCCTTCCTTGTTTAAAGTTTATTTACTTATTTTGAGAGAGAACACACAAGCTAGGGAGGAGCAGAGAGAGAGAGAATCCCAAGCAGATTCTACACTGCCAGCACATAGCCTGATGTGGGGCTTGAACCCACAAACTACGAGATCATGACCTGAGCCAAAATCAAGAGTCAGGCGCTGAAATGACTGAACCACCCAAGCGCCCCCCCGCATTCACTATAGCTTTTTATGGGCTTTTCTCAACCATGGCACTTGGCCACCATAGTGAAATCTTTGACTTACTAGGGACTCTCTCCCCAAAGCAGTGGTTCTCAACCAGGGACAATTTTGCCCTCCAGTGGACATCTGGCAATATCTGGAGTCATGTTTGATTGACATAACTTGGGGAATGCTCTTGGCTTCAGGCGAGTTAAGGCCAGAGAAGCTGCTAGACATCCTACACACACACAGGGCAGCCCCTGATGATGAAGAATTATCCCACC